AAAGAAAATATTTAAAAACAACAACAACAAGGTAGCTGGGTACAGTGGTGCATGCCTGTAATCCTATGGGCTTGGGAGACTGAGACAGGAGAATTGCAAGTTCAAACCCAGCCTCAGCCTCAGTAACTATGAGGCACTAAGCAACTCAGTGAGACCCGTCTCTAAATACAATACAAAATAGAGCTGGGGATGTGGCTCAGTGGACGAGTGCCCCTGAGTTCAACCTCAGTACCAAAAAAAAAAAGAGATACATTGACTTTAAATTTAAAAAAGATTTCTGGGGCTTAGGTTGTGGCTCAGAAGTAAAGCGTTCACTTAGCATATATGAGGCACTGGGTTCCATCCTCAGCACCACATAAAAATAAAATAAAAATATTGTGTCCAACTATAACTAAAAAAAATTAAAATAAAAAGATTTCTGGTCATTTGCACCTACTTGGAAAAATAATCTCATAGTTCCAGATAAAATAACCCAATTTCTGAGCCAATATGAATTTTAATTCCCTTAAATATTTCCCTCTCTTCTAAACTATTTTTGTTTCCATATGGTATTTTTCTTTATATTTATCTTATTGTTTTCATTTATTGAATAAATCAATTCAGTTTTATCTTCCCATCTGAAAATTTTTGTTGATGAATAAAAATATTTCTATTGAATATTAAAAATAAAATTCTCATTTTTAAAAATTTAAATGTACATGTTTTTGTACTTAGATTTCTGTTGTGAGCATTGGTCAATTGGACTATAAGGCTCTATTCCCAGAAGCAGTCTTCCCAGGACCATAAAATCTCTATTGAGCCTCCCAAAGTTTAATTGGCGATTTGGGATGGTGGTCCCTATGGAGTTACCAATGTAAATAAAACATACCCTAAAAGTAAGCTCTTAACCCCCCTATAGGGAGGCCCTACTCTCAGAAACATTCATTATGTCGGAGTTGGTGAGCACAGCACATGCTTTTCTATGAATTTTACTTTCCTGATCTCCAAATACACAACTATCCCAAATAAGGAGGTCATATATCTGAACTCCTGCATAGGAGGAAAAGGTAGCCGTCTGTTCCTTTTCTCCCTCCATTAAATCTTCTATATTTTTTAGCATTTTACTTTTTTCCCTGTCTATATCATCTGAAATTTATCATTGGAATCACAGAAATGTTTTCTAACCAGAAAGAAGAAGCTGGCATCGTCCACATCAGGTATTCTAATGTGAATTTTAATAGATTGAAGTATGAATCTTAAATTCTGCATGTAAAGTGTCGACATTTCTGTAAGATCAATTTAGATGTGTTTATGGATATTAACTGGCAAATTAGTTGCAATATAAAAATTGCAGTGTCATTGAAATTTCTTGCTAACCCTAACCCATCTCCAATCCAGAAAGTCCATGCTCATGGTTATGTAGGTTAGTGAAGGGTAGAATTGCAGTCAGCTTTCCCAAATCTCAACTAGATGGTCTTACTGTGTAGGGTCATGTCAAGTAAATCAGATAAGACGATCCCTTATTATACAGAGCAGTCTTTGGCAAACACTGATATTGTAACTGACATGGTTTAGTTCTCATGGATGAGGGTTACTAGTTACATGTTGTCTAAATGCCTCAAAAGAAATACCCTTCAAACCACAGGGGTCTGTGCCTGTCCACATTACACTATAAAGACGACTTGGACTTTTTTCCAGACATTTCTTTGGTGTAGCAAAGTTTTGGCTTCACAGCAATCTTTGACTATGCTAAGCTGCTGTCTGTTCAGCTGAATTCAGGGCCTGGCTAAGGACAGTAGTTATCAGGTTAAAAACAATGGATGTGTGCTTCTCAGACCTCTAGGTGCACAGCGCAGTGTTCTGCTCTAAGCATAGTGTGGTGCAATGGTCTCTAAAACTCCTCGAAGACTCCATATCTGTGGGACCAGAGCTCTAGTGAAGAAGTTAGTGAAATGTGACCCAAGGCTATGGGACAGGCAGAGAATGCTGTTGGCATCAGAAAGCTTGTTCCTCTTCTGAATTTAATTGTTATCTTGACCTTCTTAGACCACAGGGCTAATTCTGAAGCTAACTGGCTAGAGTCCAAACGGTCTTTCACAAACCTGTAGTTGAGACCCATGGACAGAAAAACCACAGCTGCCCAGAATCCTTCCCACCTCTCTTGCCCCATAATCACCACTCATCAGAGCTCTGCACGGAGCCCCAGATGACGAACAGCAAGCTCAAGGGTCTAGCAGCTCTGAAGGCTGGAACAGGAAAATGAAGGGTTGGGGAAGAGTAAGAAGTAGAATGGTTAACTTTGCTTATGAAAACCTGACTCTGAGAAAATGACATGGGCTTGGCAGCATGAGATGGGTAGTAATCAGAATGTTCAGTTTGAGGAATTCTTTTAAAAGCAAAGTTGAAAATATTTGCATCTGAAGGACTAATAGAAGAAAATGCAAAAGAAAGAAAGAAAGAAAATGCCAACATGATGCGAAATAATTCTCTATTTACAAAAACAGAAGCATATACACAAAATAAAACATACACGCCCATGTATTCAAAAGTTTGATAGAACCTCACATATCTTTAGTATTTGAAATATCTCAGTATTTTGCCATTTCATAAATACTGAGTGGCAATAATAAGTGTATATTGTTTGTCTCCCTATCTTCTCTCAAGCTAAGGAAAGACATTCAGAGTGTGTGTGTGTGTGTGTGTGTGTGTGTGAGAGAGAGAGACTGTGTGTGTAGAAGATGACTGACAACTGTTTACTCCCTATTCCTAGCCATGACTTAATGTTATTTGAAGGAATTACCTTTGATCAATTTTTAGTGATGTAGAAAAAATGTATCATACATATTTCTTAAAATTTATAACTAATTACTCTTAAGACATTTAAAAGAAAAATATGTCAGCATGAAACTAGTTATCATGGGTGAATGTGGTACCACTTATTTAGGCCTTACTAATACTTTCAATATGAGTAGTATTTTATTTTAAAAGTAACATTGACATGTTCTCTTTTCACTCTCTTTCAAGCAGTAAATATTTGGAGTCCTTAATGATTATCCTTGACTCAATCCTTTCCTTCCCCCAAAAATGACCAAATACACTTAAGGAATAATATTTTTGAGCCTCTACTCTGAGGTTGGAACAGTGGTCGTCTTTCAAGAGACACTATAGGGAAAATAGGTAAAATGTCTCATTTTATGAATCTTACTTTCTGTTCTCAGAGATAATGAACAAATAAATGTAAAAAAAATACTGTGGGGATTGTTAATATTGTATAGAAGAAGAAGAAAGTAAAGTGAGGAACAGAGCACTGTTTCATATTCACCGGTCATAGAAATTTTCTCAGATAACCGAGTAGCAGAGACAAGACCTAGATCAGCGGAAGACATTGGTCATGGTGTGTCACAAGTAGACAGGCAGTGTTGGCACCTTATGCCTTTAGCAGGTATGTGAAGCCCTTTGATGTTTAATGAAATGTCCAGTAAGTTTGGGGTCTCTCACATTTTGTGTTATATTTTCTTCCTATTTTAAAAAGTCTTTCACTATGTGGTCTACTATCAATGCTTTTAAACTTAATAAGGCATTTGTATTTGCATTATTTTCCTTATAGCTATACTTTTATAAAGTCATTTTGTGAAGACCAACTTACCTGCGGTCTTCCTGTGGATACAAGGCCTATTGGCTCCCCAGCATAAGGAGGAAGGAAGCAGCTTCTGGAACACTCCTCTCTTTTCCTCTTCTTATCATTCAATTTTGGTCAATATTTCTTAGTGTTTATTACCATCTCCCTAAATATGCCTCCTATTCCACTACTTGATCTATCAACTTTAAATAGCATCCTTTGGCAGTTGAATTCTAATGGTTCTCTGTATCAGCAACACTAGCAATGAATGGACAAAATGTTTTTAGGAACTTTTTTTCATTCTCCCCCAAATGTTCCCAGCTCAAATAAAGACTGTTTTTATATGATTTCTTGACCACACAGGGAGTTTGGATCATTTTGTTTCCACATGGCCATGGGGAAAAAAAAAATGACTTCAACTCCATAGCTTCTGACTTCCGAGAAGTCTTCACTTAGTTTCATAAATAAGGTAGTATCCCATGGAGTTTTATGATGATCTCTCTCCATATCATCATGTTCTATTATCTACTTCCCTGATACACACATTCCTACCTATCTCTACAAGTCCCCCGAGTGCAGTGAAGTACTCAGAGTTGAAGTATGAGACGCCTACATGGGTCACATTGATCATCTTCATCCCTGATACAGACACACACAACCGACGTATCTGCTATGCATCTTTGAGAAGCTCAGGGGGTAGGTCAAGGGTCATCACCAGCCACACACAGAGCATTTTCTCACTGGAACCCGCATTTTCTATGTGGACAAACACATGAGATGAAAACTGTGCTTCTGATGCCAGTTGGCTAAAAGTGGTTGTGTATATAATTTTTCTTAGTCTTCTATTTTATCCGTGTTTCTTGTTAATTTTGATTTTGTTTTTCACATAGTTTTACATAGATGTTACAGATCTGCAACAATATACACACAGTTTTCATTTTACACATTCTGCATTTTAATTTGATTTGCTATTTGACAATATCATTTTTATTATTAGCTTTTGAATGTTGCTCAAGTTTCATATGCCCATAGAATAAAACATTTGTATAAAAAGAACACTGGGTCACTTTCTTCATTGATTTATAACTTTAAGGCACAAATGTATTGTGTAAAATAGGCAGAACACAAAAATAAGCAAAGGAAATGAATATATGCAAATGGAACATAGATAAAACAAAGATTAAATGTGTTGCTTGGGTCAGATCTTATCGAAGGAAAAAAGGAGCAAATCATTTCCTGCAGATGGGCGAATTTGGAGGAGAGGGCTACAGGTCTATATGACAGGTCCAGGGGCGACATCAGGGACATAGTCACGCTACAAAAAACCTGGGTCACCAAGGCTGACCGTGTTGCCTTCTTTCTCCAGGACATTAGTCATTTTGTGAAGGAAAGCTGCAGGGAAATGGAGGACACCAACAGCAGCTCAGAAAAGGGATTTCTTCTCCTGGGATTTTCAGATCAGCCCCGGCTGGAGAGGCTCCTCTTCATTATCATTTTGCACTTTTACATCTTGAACCTTCTGGGGAATGCTGCCATCATACTAGTGTCCTGCCTGGACCCCAGACTGCACACCCCAATGTACTTTTTCCTCAGCAACCTCTCCTGTGTGGACATCTGCTTCACCACCAGCGTGGCCCCACAGCTGCTGGTTACCATGAACAGGAGAGACAAGACCGTGAGCTATGCTGGGTGCGTGGCCCAGCTCTATGTGGCCATGGGGTTGGGTTCATCCGAGTGTATCCTCCTGGCGGTCATGGCTTACGATCGCTATGCTGCTGTCTGCCGGCCACTGCACTACACAGCCATCATGCATCCGAAGCTCTGCACATCCCTGGCCAGCACAGCGTGGCTCAGTGGCCTTGTGACCTCCCTGATTCAGTGCTCCCTCACTCTGCAACTGCCCCTTTGTGGTCATCGCAAGCTGGACCACATTTTCTGTGAAGTGCCTGTGCTGATCACACTGGCCTGTGTGGACACGACATTCAATGAGGCAGAACTCTTTGTGGCCAGTGTAATCTTTCTAATTGTCCCTGTGTCCCTCATCCTAGTCTCCTATGGCTTCATAACTCAAGCAGTGCTCAGAATCAAATCAGCCGCTGGGCGCAGAAAAGCCTTTGGCACCTGCTCATCACACCTGGTTGTCGTCATCATCTTCTATGGCACCATCATATTCATGTACCTTCAACCAGCCAGAAGTGGCTCCAAGAACCAGGGGAAGTTCGTCTCTCTTTTCTACACCATAGTCACTCCGCTTTTAAACCCCATTATCTACACTCTGAGAAACAAAGATGTCAAAGGAGCGTTGAGGACCATGGTAATGGGAAGGTGTTGGGGTCCGGATGGTCATGGCCTTAGTTGTAACCTCAGATAGCAAGGATAAGCTCACAGGTGATCTGTTTTCAGTTTGCTCCTCCTGTCCAGAGCCACAGGGACCTGAGAAGAGGCTCAAGTGCTGAAGGCACAGTTACACTTTCCATTCTTATGCACCCCAGGATTCTGGGCTCTACCTTTAGAAAACCCTGCACTCTTTCCAACCACATCATCAACTGTCATGTTCTCGTTCTTTCTTTTCTAAGTTTTTGTCAGTACATGGTAACTGCCTAAGAGTAGAATTCATTGGGAAACATTCTCATGTGCAAATTACAATTGGATCAGTACCCACTATTTCTACGTAGCATTCTGTTCCACCTGAAAACTTCTATTTATTCTAAAGAATATGTTACCCACACTTTCCAGGTTTTCTGACACACCATACTTCATATTGCCTGAGAAAAATTTGTTTCAAAACACATATTTCCCTAGCACGTGGAAATTGTTCGTTTTCACAGGCATTGTTTGTACATGCACACACACAAAGAGGTCATGGAATATGTACAATATACTGTGAAATAACATGTGGCCATTTTCTGACAACCCAACAGCTTAAACCTGAGAATACTGTGTCCTGATGTACTGACTTATTTGTAACACAAGAAAACCAACTGTAATTCAGAGTTGATACCTTGATTCCATGAAACTATGGGATACAAAAAATGACATTTTATTAAAGGAGCAAAGAAGCAAGCTTGCTTATTGAGATGGTGCAGTCATGCACTATTTGGATAAATCTACTTTTTGTTGAAGAGGCTGAACCAAAGTGTCATATACAAAACCCCAAGAGTTATAGTGTATTCACAATTTATGAAGTCTACCATGAAGTAATTGCTTCCAGCCTGAACTTCTGAAGAAGAAAAAATTGATTATGTATTTTATTTTTTTTTAAATTTGAAATGTGAAGACTATACACAGGCTCATGTCAATGTTCATAGTTTCATATTAGGTTCCCAAAAGTGAAAGTCATATTCAGAAGCAACTGAATGATAAATATAATCTTATATTTTACTAAACTCTTAATTCTTTTTTATTAGTTGCTCATAACAATAAATGATCTTGACATATCATTCATTTGAATCAAATAGGGTATAATTTCTCATTTTTCCAAGTGTACAGGTTGCAGAATCATATTGGTTATACGGCCACTTAATTTTTTTTTAATATTTATTTTTTAGTTGGACACAATACCTTTATTTTATTTATTTATTTTTATGTGGTGCTGAAGATTGAATCCAGGGCTTCACACGTTCTAGGCAAGTGCTCTACCACTGAGCCACAACCCCAGCCCCCTAAACTCTTAATTCTTGATTCAGTTTTTTTCTTTCTCTCCATTTGTACCTCTATCTCTGTCTCCCCCCAAAGAGATTGAATTTTATCAATTTATCAAAATCAAGAATTTTCAGATACTTGTGCAATTACCAAGAAAAAGTTAATTGCCTTATATAGTCAGTTCTACATTATCTTCTCATTATGATTCTCACGAGGGAAAAATCATGGAAAAACAATGAAAAGATTGAAAACAGGAACAGGATTGGAGGGGACTTTCAAATAGTTTATACTTATGACAACTAAAAGATCACTGGGGCTGATTTAAAATTTGTGCTTATACCAGAACTTCACAGACTCTACAAATGTTAGGATACGGTTTGACATTTCTCCACCACCAAAGCCTGGAGTTCAAGCAAAATGCCCACAGATAAGAAAGAAAGGACCTCAGAAGTGTTTTAAAGAATGAGTCAAGGTTAAAGAGAACAAGATGCACTCTTCAGACTGGTGGGAGTGGGTATGGGGTGCAAGAAGGTGCAAATGTTTCCCAAGTCACTTGGGAATAAGGTGATTTTAATATTTAAAAAAATAATGTTTTAATGTCCAATACATTTGGACATTATAAATTAAGAGTTTAGAGGGCTGGGGTTGTGGCTCAGTGGTAGAGCACTCACCTAGAACGTGTGAGGCCCTGGGTTCAATCTTCAGCACCACATAAAAATAAATAAATAAAATAAAGGTATTGTGTCCAACAATAATTCCTTCAACACAAGAAGAAAAAGATAATCCAATTCTCAAGTGGACAAATGGGTAAATGGCTTAAATGGTGTTTCAACACACAAGATAAACAATGAGAGTAAGCAAAGGGAAATACTTGACGTCAGTAGTCATTAAGGAAATGCAGACCAGAACCACAGTGAGGTACTGGTCCATGCGTTCTAGGATATATATGTATGGAAAATGAACACTGATGAAGATGTGGATCAATGGAAATAATCCCCCATCCATCATCCCTGGAGGGAATGAAAAATGATGTGGCCACTGCACAGAATAGTGTGCAGTTCACTCAAAATGCTCATCCTAGAATCAGCCTATCACCCAGCATTTCTATTCCTGGGTGTATACACACAAAAAAATTGAAAACTGGTTCCCAAACAGATTATTGTTTGGACACCAATGTCTGCTGAAGCATTAGTTACAAAAGTCAATAGGTAGAAACAATTTGGAATGTTAAAAAGTTTGGAAATAATCTGAGGATGGTGGTGCATGACTAATCCTAGTGACTCCAGAAGTTTAGGCAAGAGGTCGCACCTTCCAGACCAGTCTGGTTTACTTACCAAGACCTTGCTCAAAAGACAAAAAGTCTGGGAATGTAGCTCAGTGATAGAATTCCCTTCAGCTCAGACCCCTGTGTTGCAAGATAATAATAATAATAATAATTACTATTATTATTAATATTGGAAACAGTGGTGGTAATGGTTTAAATGTTATAGTAAGAAATGACATTAAATGTTCACTTAAAAAGGTTACAATCACAGATTTAATAAAAATTACAAAAAAAATGAACTAATATCAGTACCCTATCCATTAAGGTTCTGGTTAAAATCATATGGACCTGTTAATATTGAATACAGTGGGGGAGCAGACGCAGAAGCTGGGCTGAAGCACGCTGTGTTGTCATAAAGGAGGTTCCAAGCCCAGCGCTGTGCTCCCTGAATTTCTCTGTTCCTTGACTGGACCACTGACCTCACCAGGCTCCATCTCCTTGGCCTTGTAAAATCCCTAACACCCACTGTGATGACTGACCTTGTCAACTTGAGTGCCACCAGCTGTGCAGATACTTGGTCAACTGTCATTCTAGGTGTTTCCATGAGGGTGTTTTGGTTGAGGTTGTCAATTAAATGAGTAGAGTGAGCAAAACACACTGGCCTCCCTACTGTGAGTAAGCCTCCCCCACAGCAAAAGCCTGGGTAGACTGACCCTGCTCTGGAGTGGAAAGAGAGTCCTCCCCACTGAGAGGGGTGGGTGTGCCAGCACTGGTCTCCTCCTGTAGCTTGTGTCTACCATCTGAAGCATGCTGTGGCAAGAGCTTAGCTCCAGAGGGTCTGGGCAGCATTTCCCCATGACCTTGTTGCCAACAAGACCTCTCTCTTAGGCTGGCTCTGCTCCCTGACCAGTTTTATTCAGCAGATAGTCCAGATTTCAGACACCCTTAATTCCTGGGGTCTCCTCTGCAGCTGAAGTGTCACCTTCTCAGCTTCATGCATCACCCTTGCAGGCACTTTATGCAAGAAGCCCCTCCCTGACACAAAGTGCTTGGCCTCCCAGGCCTTCCTTGGAAATCTCTGGAGAAGCCTCTGTGACCCTGTAGCTCCACCATCCCACATTCCTGCCAAGCCAACATGACATGGATGATGCCCAAGTATGCTGTCAGCTCTAGGAGCTGGTCACTCTCAGACCACGGCTGCAGTGGCATGGGTGTCTAAATGGCAAGGATGGTTAAGGGAATACTGGGGAAACAATTCTCTAAGTACCTTGATGTAAGCAGGGATCCCCAGTCTGTTGCTAAGGCAATTTCTTTCAAACTAGTGTAGAGGATTACACCCTTGAGCCTGAGAGGATTCCTGAGATGCCTCAAGGCACCTTTCCTATTGTCACTGTGCTCAGTATGAATCTTCCATTAAATAGCTGTAATCTCTTCAGCAACCAAACTTCCCTTGGTCCCAGTTTTGCATGTATTTATTTCACAGCCAAATTGCATGTTTTTCAATTTTTTTTCTTTTTTTTTTTTCTTATTTTGCTTCCAGCTCTCACAATAAACTAGACTAAGTTTAAGCAATATCCATGCCACTGCCTGAATGCTGTGCTGCCTCTTTCTCTGGCCAGACATGGTGGTGCACACCTGTAATTCCAATGGCTCCGGATTGTGAGCTCAAAGCCAGCCTCAGCAACTCAGCAAGGCCCTAAGCAACTGAGACCCTGACTCTAAATAAAATACAGAAGGGCTTGAGATATGGCTCAGTGGTTAAGTGCCTTGGGGTTCAATCCCTGTACAAAATAAAACAAAAACAAAAACATTTTCTCAGACCCAGTGGCCCTGGCGATTATGGACCCGGCCGAGGCGGTGCTGCAGGAGAAAGCACTCAAGTTTCTGAATTCCTCAGAGAGAGAAGACTGTAATAATGGTGAACCCCCCTAGGAAGATAATACCAGAGAAGAATTCACTTAGACAGAAGTAAAGGCCACTATCGATGATTTCTTTGAAAATTTTTTTGTTCACTGCTGTGTCCCTATGTCCAAAAGACTTATAACAGCTGTGCCAGACTCTGCTTAAACCAAGAAACAGTATTATCTAGCAAATACTGCTATGAAGACTGAAAATTGTGTGGCCAAAACAAAACTTGCCAATGGCACTTCCAGTATGATCGTACCCAAGCAACGGAAACTCTCTGCAAGCTATGAAAAGGAAAAGGAACTGTGCGTCAAATATTTTGAACAGTGGTCAGAGTCTGATCAAGTTGAATTTATGGAACATCTTATATCCCAAATGTGTCATTACCAACATGGGCACATAAATTCATATCTTAAACCTATGCTGCAAAGGGATTTCATAACTGCTCTGCCAGCTCGGGGATTGGATCATATTGCTGAGAACATTCTGTCATACTTGGATGCCAAATCACTTTGTGCTGCTGCACTTGTGTGCAAAGAATGGTACCGAGTGACGTCGGATGGCATGTTATGGAAGAAGCTCATCGAGAGAATGGTCAGGACAGATTCTCTGTGGAGAGGCTTGGCAGAACGAAGAGGGTGGGGACAGTATTTATTCAAAAACAAACCTCCTGATGGGAATGCTCCTCCCAACTCTTTTTATAGAGCACTTTATCCTAAAATTATACAAGACATTGAGACAATAGAATCTAATTGGAGATGTGGAAGACACAGTTTACAGAGAATCCACTGCCCGAGTGAAACTAGCAAAGGAGTTTACTGTTTACAGTATGATGACCAGAAAATAGTAAGCAGCCTTCGAGACAACACAATCAAGACCTGGGATAAAAGCACATTGGAATGCAAACGAATTCTCACAGGCCACACAGGTTCCGTCCTTTGTCTCCAGTATGATGAGAGGGTGATCATAACTGGATCATCAGATTCCATGGTCAGAGTTTGGGATGTAAATACAGGTGAAATGCTAAACACATTGATTCACCATTGTGAAGCAGTTCTGCACTTACGTTTCAATAATGGCATGATGGTGACCTGTTCCAAAGATCGTTCCATTGCTGTATGGGATATGGCCTCCCCAACTGATATTACCCTCCGGAGGGTTTTGGTTGGACACCGAGCTGCTGTCAATGTTGTAGACTTTGATGACAAGTACATCGTTTCTGCATTTGGGGACAGAACTATAAAGGTGTGGAACACAAGTACTTGTGAATTTGTAAGGACCTTAAATGGACACAAACGAGGGATTGCCTGTTTGCAGTACAGAGACAGGCTGGTGGTGAGTGGCTCCTCTGACAACACTATCAGATTATGGGACATTGAATGTGGTGCATGTTTACGAGTGTTAGAAGGTCATGAGGAACTGGTGCGTTGTATTCGATTTGATAACAAGAGGATAGTCAGTGGGGCCTATGATGGAAAAATTAAAGTGTGGGATCTTGTGGCTGCTTTGGACCCCCATGCTCCTGCAGGGAGTCTCTGTTTACGGACCCTTGTGGAGCATTCTGGAAGAGTTTTCCAACTCCAATTTGATGAATTCCAGATTGTCAGTAGTTCACATGATGACACAATCCTCATCTGGGACTTCCTAAATGATCCAGCAACCCAAGCTGAGCCCCCCCCCCCGCTCCCCTTCTAGAACATACACCTACATCTCCAGATAAACAACCATATACTGACCTCATACTTACCCAGGACTTATTAAAGTTGCAGTATTTAAGTATCTGCCAAGACCAGAATGAGCAACAACCGCAACAATCAAACTCCTACCTGGATGGCATTACAGCAGATTATGCTAAGCGAAGCTAGCCAATCCTTAAAAAACAAATGCCAAATGTCTTCCTTGATATAAAGAGAGCAACTAAGAACAGAACAGGGAGGAAAAGCATGAGGAAAAGATTAACATTAAACAGAGACGAGTGGGGGGAGAGAAAGGGAGAGAGAAGGGAAATCATATGGAAATGGTAGGAGACCCTCAATGTTACACAAAATTACATATAAGAGGTTGTGAGGGGAAAGGGGGGGGAACAAGGGACAGAATTGAACAACAGCAGATGAGGTAGAGAGGGAAGATGGGAGGGGAGGGGAAGGAGGATAGTAGGGGATAGGAAAGGTAGCAGAATACAACAGTCACTAATATGCCATTATGGAAAAATGTGAATGTGTAACCGAAGTGATTCTGCAATTTGTATTTGGGGTAAAAATGGGAGTTCATAACCCACTTGAGTCAAATGTATGAAAGATGATATGTCATGAGCTTTGTAATGTTTTGAACAACCAATAAAAAAAAACATTTTCTCCATCAGGTTAATGACTCCATCACCTTTAAATTCACCTACAAAAATTTCAGGACATGTACATAATGTAGACAAATTTATATGCCAGAATGTGACATTAATGACCTTGTGTTAGGCAACTTTTTATCATGTGACCAAAATACATGACAAAAAAAAATTAGAGGAGCAAAGATTTATGTTGGCTCATGGTTTTAGAGTTCTCAGTCCATAGTATTCCAGTTGCCCAGAATCAGTGTTCTGCAATGGTATCCACAGCATCTGCTTCTGTAGGTAACAAAGGATAAGAAGGTGGTTGAGCAAATTGTCTATTTCAGTCCTTTGCACTATTCATCAAGAATAGGTGTAATCATTGACAGGTCTTACTGAGTGGCTGAGGCTGGCCTTGAATGTGAGATCCTCCTGCCTCAGTCTCCCTAGTCACTGAGTTTAGAGGTGTGCACCAGTAGTGCCCAGCTCTGGTACTTGCTGAACATCTTTCCTTCTAAAAGTGTATTATTTTCTTCCATTCTCAGTCACACCTAGAGGATCAGACCCACCTACCAGGCACCACTCTGCTCCCAAAGAAACCCTCTGAATACAGAGTCTTTAATGAGCTTCCCTGATAGACAACATCTCATCCTGATTGGCTCTATTTGTTACCTGGGAATTGGACTCATCCTCTGTGGTGACATCAAAAGTACAACTGGAAGTGTGCAAGTGGTTTACTCCAAACCAAATTTAACCAACAACTAGTAAACATGTAATAATCAATGAATGGAAAAAAATAATTTTATTGGTTAAGGTCATAGCAAAGTGGGATAAGTGAAAAGATGCCACATGGCTTAGAAACAACTTAATGTTACTAAGAGTTCACCTCCTTGAAATGCTAGTCACATAAAATTTCATAATTCTCCAAAACAGACTTCATAGCAATCAAGAGAAACTGCCTTGCCAAACACCGCAGGAAAGGCAAGTGTCTCATAATTGTCAAAGTCCCCTGAACAGTAGACTGTTGGCTTGTCCAATACAGTCATGGACACAGAACATTTTGCTCAGGGACAGGCCCTTTTATACAAAGGGTGTCTGTGGTAAAGGGATTCCTGTGCCTTTGTTGTGATGCTGGTGTAGACAAAGCCAAGGCATTACCACCTCCAGCGGGTAAAGCAACAGGCTGCGGAGGTTTGTAGCCTAGAAACCAAGTGAATATCCACAGAGCCCAGGTGGAGGAGGGCCACCCCATCCAGGACCGTGTGAATACACTGTGCTGTGTGCAATGGTGGCAGCATTAAAGTTCACTTCTACATTGTATCCCTGTGTTAAGTGACATGTGATCCTACATAAAGGATTTCCAAATTTTAATACTCAAAATAGTATAGCATGAGCAGAGGGGTCCAAGACGTGGACCAAGAGAAAAAAAATGCCCAGTGGGCTGACATTTATATTCAGACTTGATTAATGTCTTTACAGGAATTGAAACAAATTGCGACATATTTAAAACATCGGTCAAGGTCAACTGTATGTAATAGGGAGAATGCACTGAACTCCTGCCGTTCCATGGACAAAATTTTCTGCAGCAATAATGGGAGAAACATTTTCTCTAATTCTTTCCTCTAATAGCATTTTTGAGTCTAGGGTCTCGAATTACATTTGAAGTCACCCAAAAGAAAGGAGCAAATCTCAGTGCTGCTGCCTACACTCGTGGGAAGAAAAAAGCTAAATAAGAATTTTCAAAGAATGGAAATAAAACTATATATACATATATATTTATACTCATACATGTATATGCTTGTGCTTTTTTGGAATCCACTTTTTACAGTCTCTTTAAAAACATTTCACCTTTTCACTCAGCTGTGAACATATCAGACTCAAGTGTCAAGTAAGGCCATCCCATCCCACCAGCTGCGACATCCTCCCACCTGGTTCTGCTCCCTGACATGCTCCACAATCACCCTCCTAGGAGACCCTGGACCATGGCTCAGGTGTTCACAGCACTGCAGGGGTGGGTGCTTCCCTTGGGAGAAGTTTCATTCCTCCACTAATCTGAAAAAACCCAGGGGGCAGAAATACTCTCGCTTCTCCTAGACACCAGCATCCCACTGAACAACGTGCCTCTAAAGGATGGGCTGGGAGGAAGCCATGTCCCAAAGGGTGGCTGTCCAGATGAGGCCCATCCCAGGAGACTCCTCAACCCCAGGGCCTCCAGCTGCTCCCACCCCTCAGGCTGTCCTCTAGGAGGAGCTGATGCCAGGACTGAAATTCCTTGTACCATGCAGGACACAGGGCAGCCCTGGGAACCTTGTGGCAGACCCAGGAAAAGACAGGACAGTGACTGAGGACACAGGACCCTGTAGTTTTCAAAGGGAAGCTCAACCTAAGTCACCGTGCCTCTGCCTGGGAAAATACAGGAAGAGTGGGACAAGATTTTAGAAGTGGATTTCCAGGTCCTCGTTCTCTGCTTCCCTCTTATGGAAATGTTCACAGACACTACTCAAATGTTTTAAAATGCACCACACATTACTCAATGAAAAGAAAAACATGAGCGCTAAAATACTGAGTCCATGTGAATGCAGCAGGAGCCACAAGATGATCCTGAGCACTTGAGGAAGGTGTGAGGGAATTTTGGGTTGTGCAGAGGGGAGTGAGGGGAGGGGGTATGGGGATGGGAAGGACGGTGGAATGAGATGGACAGACTTCATAGCATTCAAGAGATGGTTGTTACATGATTGTACTACCGGTGTGACTCTGCCACCATGTTCAGCCACTGGAAGAAGCTTTACTCCCTTCGTGTACAATGTGTCAAAATGCATCCTACTCTCATGTATAAACAAATAGAACAAATAAAAAAATACATAAATTGCCAGGCACAGTGGCCCATGCCTGTAATCCCATTGGCTTGGGAGGCTGAGGCAAGAGGATTGGGAGTTCAAAGGCAGCCTCAGAAAAAGCAAAGCACTAAGCAACTCAGTGAGACCCTGTCTCTAAATAAGAATACAGATAAGACTGGGGATGATGTGGCTCCATGGTCAAGTGCCCAGAGTTCAATCCCCAGTATCCTTAAGTTTTTTTTCACATTAGCCATGGCCATGACCTGAGATTATAATTTTAACACATCCAAAGAAGCATTATAAAAATGACCAGGCATTCTGATGGAATCCAGTAGCAGCCACTTCATTTCTCCTATCATCCCCTCTTTTATGATGTTTTGGTATTAGGATCTAGAATCCAAACATAAGCATTTCCATCGTCAACACATGCACACCTGAACCCATAGTGATGCCTGTCACTACAGGAGCCACTTGGGGACCTCCAGGAATCAGCAAGTTCTCTCCACTGTCCCAGGGGTCCTGGCGCCTTTAACCTTGTCTCTCCAGCCTCTCCTGATCAGCTCACATAGAAACAGCATTCTTCCCGGACTGGCTTTGCAGGACAACAGATGCCAAGGAGTCCCATTTTGTAGTCAGCACTGAGTTGGCGCTGTTGGATGTCCTGAATAGTCTATTCTGCTCGCTTTTCATAGTAATGGACTGAGATCCTCAACCCTGCAGATCCTGTGCCAATCCCAGCAGGTGTCTCTAGCCCCATGAGTACGGGAATAATGTGGAGGGCTCTCCTGTGTTTGGTGTGTACTGTGCCCCTGAGTTCAATCCTCAGTATCCCCCCTCCCCCCAGAAAAGCCATACACGTGGTTTTACATATATCTGCTCACCTCCACATCTGCTCAGATTCCTAGAATGAAGAAGTGCTGATGAGGGTGGAGGTCTGAATCGAGTTCTTTCACTGTGATCACTGGGTACTCTTCACTCCCTATCAGTGAATCTTCAAGCATACGTAGGATTGGGCAGCAGAGGCCTGTCTATGGTGAAGGGCTTTTACCTAGTGTGGGTGACCTGTCAGGGACCATGTCCTTGACGCTCAGCAGGGATGGAATCTGGCATTAGCTCTCAGGCGCTGTTATGTACATGTTATTTTAATTAATGAATGATGCAGTGCTGGGGATTGAACCCAGGGACCCATACATGCCAGGCATACACTCTACCACTGAACCAGATCCCCAGTTCATACATATTTCTTTGAAAGTTCCTTGGTTTATTTAGATTTTTTTTCTGATCATACAATAAATATGTGATCTTTGAAGAAAATCTGGAAAACCAAACAGGATAATATTTGTGTGTGTGTGTGTGATATAAACTTTCTTTTTCCATCAAAAATTGTAAATGTTTTCAAAGATAAAAGGCTTACTCTAGATGAGTACTGCAATGGAATCACTTTATGTGGTGAATTATGACCATATTCAAGGAGGAGCAAGACAACATTCTCAAAGCCAAAATGAGGTTTAGCAAAGTTGCTTAGAAATGATGACCCAATCCTTTGGCTATAAAAGGAAAAATAACAGCGCTACCATCAGTCCAAGGTGTGCAAGCAGTGGCTGGGCAAATGTCACACACACACACACACACACACACACACACACACAGCAGCCTTTGTGCCAGATTG